ATGAGCAGGAAAATTTGAAGGGCTGCTCAAGAAGAAAAAGTGAAGGATTATAATGAAATGTGCCAAGACTTGAGTTAGAAAACCAAAAGGGAAGAACACATTCAGCATGTCTCAAGCTGAAAGAACTGAAAAAAATTCAAGCCTCACTTGGAATATTGAAGGATTCTATAGACAAAATACTGAATGAAAGCATCAAAAGAAGATGGGAGGCAATGCACAATAAAAGCTTTAAAAAAGAAGATGATGGGAGGAATACCCAGAGTCACTGTACCAAAAAGAAATAGATGGTATTCAACCATTTCAAGAGATAGCATATGATCAAGAGCCAGTGGTACAGAAGGAAGAAGTTCAATGTGCACTGAAGGTATTGGCAAAGAACAAAGCACTGGGAATTAATGGAATACAAGCTGAAATAATTCAACAAACTGCTGCAGCACTAGAGACACTCACTCATCTATACCAAGAAATTTGGAAGACAGCTCCCTGGCCAATGCATTGGACGAGGTCCAGATTTGTTCCCATAATGCAGAAATCATCAGATAATATCATATGCAAGGAAAATCTTGCTAAAGAGAACTCAAAAAGGGCTGTAACAGTACATTGACAGGGAACAGCCAGAGGTTCAAATTGAATTCAGAAGAGGACATGGAATGAGGAATATCACTGCTAACATCAGATGGATCTTGACTGAAAACAGAGAATACCAGAAAGATGTCTGCTTATTCTTTATTGCAAAGGCTTTCGACTGTGTGGATCATGACAAGCTATAGATAACATTGCAAAGAATGGGTATTCCAGAACACTTAATTGTGCTCATGAGGAACCTATACGCAGACCAAGAGGTTGTTGTTTGAACAGAACAAGGGTACACTGCATGGCTTAAAATCAGAAAAAGTGTGTGCCAGGGTTGTATTCTTTCACCATACTTAATCAGTTTGTATACTGAACAGATAATTTGAGAAGCTGAGTTGTATGAAGAACATGGCATCGGGAATGGAGGAAGATTCATTAACAACCTGTGATATGCAGATGATATAACCTTGCTTGTTGAAAGTAAAGAGGGCGTAAAATACTTACTGATGAAGATCAAAGACTACAGCCTTCAGTATGGGCTGCACCTCAGAATAAACAGAACAAAAATCCTCACCATTGGACCAATAAATAGAATCAAGATAAATGGAGTAAAGATTGAAGTCAAAGACTTCATTTTGTTTGCATCCACTATCAACACTCATGGAAGCAGCAGTCAAGAAATCAGATGATGTATTGCATTAGGTAAATCTGCTGTACTAGACCTCTTTAAAGTGTTAAAGAGCAAAAATATCAGTTTGCAGATTAAGGTACACCTGACCCAAGCCATGGTATTTTCAGTAGTTTCATTTGTATGTGAAAGTTGGACAGTGAATAAGGAAAACTTCAGAAGAATTGATGCATTTGAGTTATAGTGTTTGGAATAATATTAAAAGTGCCAGAGACCGTCAGAAGAATAAACAAATCTGTGTTGGAAGAAGTACATCCAGAATACTCCTTGGAAGCCATGATGGCTAGACCAGACTTTGTTTCTCATAATTCAGACATCTTATTAGGAGAGATCAGTCCCTGGAGAAGGACATCACGCTGGATAAAGAGAAAGGTCAAAAAAAAGAGGGAAGATCCCTAAGGAGATAGATTGGCGCAGTAACAGCAGTAACAATGATTGATAGGATGGCGCAGGACTGGACATTGTTTCGTTCTGTTGTGCATAGGGTCACTATGAGTTGGAAGCAACTTGACAGCACCTAACAACAACAGGGTTGTACAGTCAATTATTGTAATTGTCAGTAAGTTATGCACATTTTAAAAAGTTGAACTGGCAAACGTTCTGTGATGGACACATTTGCAACTGCCCAAAAAATGAGTAGCTGCTGAGTGTGCATATATATATAACCAAAGCCCTCAGGGGATTTGGTTCCTTCGTTTGAAGGGTTACAGTCATGGCTTCATGAAACATTGTAGTTAATTGGCCTAATAATGTCTATAGTGCTTCTGTTTGGGGGCAGTGAGTTTATGTTAATGAGGGAGTATCAACTCAGAAAAGGAAGTTGAAGATGGTTGCACAACTTGAAGAATGTAACCAACACCACTGAAATGTACATGTCGAAACTGCTGAATGGGTGTGTGTCTGTGTGTATTCCAATAATAAAATCAATAAAATTTAGAAGAAAAAAAAATTACATTTAAATTTAAAAAGAGGGAATCAGGGTGGATCCTGCTCAAAGATTCTTTCATTGTATGTTTCTTATACATTTCTCAGTAAATTTTATTACTTTTGTTTGGTTATTGAGATAAACATCACTCTTTTCATTTTAAATTTCTATTTATTTTTCCTTTTAGATTTTTCCATAATCATAAACAAATTTGGTATTTTCCCAAAATTTATGATTTCAGAGTTGTTTCAGTTAATCTTATATACCCTTAAAGAAGTACTATGCTCATAACAGTTGAGGAAATTAGCCCTTCAAGTGATCACAGTAGGCCAACAGAACATTAAGAGTCTAGTTGGAATTTTAATCCTAACTTCTAGGACTTTTTTTTTTAGTGTATTTACCACCATTATATAATTTACCTTTGCATCCGACAGTATTTTATTTGCCATTAACAAATATTTATGGTGTTGCTCTGTAAGATCAGCAAGATAAGCAGTTCAAATCTACCACATACTCCTAGGAAACCCTATACAGGGTCATTGTGAGTTGAAACTGACTTGACAGCCCTTAACAACACCATGGACATTTGTGTCTGCAGTTTGAGCCCATCAGTCGTTCCAAAGGAGAAATATGAGACTTTCTGCTCCCTTGATGATTTAAAGCAGGGATGGTGAACCTTGTTTCTGCCAAAATTTATGACCTCTATCACAGGACATAAAAAATTATCTACTTAAAAATTAGCCTGTTATACTTGGTCAAACATTTAATTAACTCACCCCTAACGTGATGGTAAGGAGCTCTGGTAGCGTAGTGGTTACGAATCGGGCTGCGAACCTTAAGGTCAGCGGTTCGAAACTACCAGCTGCTCCGCGGGAGAAAGATGAGGCTT